GGTCGGACCCGACTCGATGGCACTTAACAACAACAACAATGGATTGGTGAATCAGCATTTAATCTACAGGGAAGTGAATTATTGGCTGGCAACAACTGGCTCTTCTTTCTGTTATCTTCATTAAGAAAGTTATTGAGTTAAAGAGCCCGTTTTAACTGGGTGAGTTATTTAACCACTCAGTTTTCTCATCCACATTAATAGCTACTTCACTGAGCTATGATGGATTCTATACAAATGGAGGGTCCTGAAATAATATCGGTACTTAATGAACATCAATCAGATAAATGTGAATAGCTGCCACCATCAGTGAGAGCGAAGGAGGAGGTGTTGGTAGTGGTCAGTGTAGTGGTTATTTATTTATTACTTTGGAATGAGACAGATTGCTAACTTATCTTTACTCAAGGATTTAGAATAGCATCAGTAGGGGTCCTGATGTGGTCCTGTAGGATAAGCACTGGACCGCAAGGTCAATGGTTCAAACTCACCAGCTGCTCTTTGGACCTATGCAAGGTCCCTGTGAATCTGAACACTCAGGCACTTAACAACAACAGGGAATACAGGTCAATTAGTATTCATTCATGAAAAGAGTTTCATTTCAGTAGGAAGTTAAACGCGAATGCTGATATTCTACCTTGAAGAAAAGCGATAAGGGGATGGTTTTGAAAAATCCCTCCCTTATCCATGGGTGGAGACTACAGTGTTGTTAAGTACCATTGAGTCATTTCTAGAGTTTCCAAGGAGTGATTGGTGAGTTTGAACAGTCAACCTTATGGTTCAAACTGACCTTGGGGTCCAGTGCTTATCCTATAGTGCCACATCAGGACTCCTAAGGTGTAGACTACAGGAATGCTCATTTTGTTACACCTTGCTTTATTGCGCTTTGTAGATATTGTGGTTTTTACAAATTGAAGGTTTGTGGTAACTCTGCCTCAAGCAAGTCTATTGGCTCCAGTTTTCTAACAGCTTGTACTCACTTAGTGTCTCTGTGTCACATTTTGGTAATTCTGACAATATTTCCAATTTTTTTCATAATGCTGTTGCACACTTAATAGACTATAGTATATAGTAGGACTTCTGGTGTGGCACTGTAGGATCAGCACTGGACTTTGGGCCACAAGGTCAGCAGTTCAAATCCGTCAACTGCTCCTTGGAAACCCTGTACAGGGTCTACTGTGAGTTGGAACCGACTCATGGCTCTTAACTAATATAGTGTAAACCTAACTTTTATATGCACTAGGAAATCAACAATTCATATGGCTGTTGTGATACTCACTTTATTGTGGTGGTCTGGAAAGAGCCCACAGTTGTCTCTGAGATATGCCTGTAATGAGTCTCAAGTCTGGCCTCATATTAAGAAGACTTGGGAAGGTTTGTAAACAAACAGCCCATTCTGGTTTCCAACCCAAGTCAGTGTTGCCCCTTGGAGGGTCTGGGCATCCTACTTTGTAAAGTTCCTGAGGCTCAGCTACTGGAGAACCGCTAGTTTAGAAAAGCCCACTTAAAGGATTTCAAGTGGGATGATCTAGGCTGAACCCCAATTCTGTTACTATTTTTGCTTAGTGACCTCAAGCAACAGTTTTAATTTGTGA